CCCCCCCGCAACAAATCACCACCACCAAGGAGCAAAGCCTAAACAGTTCTGAGGTCATGCTATATCATAAGGTAAAACTGCAAAATAAATTTGTGGAGATTATGGGGATTAAAACAGATTCATTCAGTTTTGCACCAAAACTGAAGTGCTGGGTGGCTCATAAGGGCTCAGTTGAATATATTAAATATTTTAAAAACATTTATGGGGATGATTTTAAATATGTAGAGAATTAAGTATGCAATTCTGTAAAGGGCTAGACAGAATCAGTTACAAATTTAATAACAGATTCAGACTGTTTATGAATTCTGCAAACAGCTCAAGCAGAAAAAGAGCATACAGCAAAATTCAAATAAATTTAAAAGGAACTTAAAAGTCCTTACTTCAGGATGTTCATTTTTTATATTGCAGAAACTACACTGCAGAATCTGGAGTTTCCAACGCTTTGCAGGGTATTACTTCAGGATTTACTGTGTTTGTGTTTGGCCATTTAAAATGTAAAGCATTGTGGAAAAAATTGATTTTTTTTAATCATTGTTCTAGCAAGTATCAGATTATCTCATAAAGAGGCTTCTGCCCTGGGAGTTTTTCAGCTCTGTTTCTCAGTGCAGAGATATGGGGAGTGAGCAATTCTGTCATCACTTGCCTGATTTTATCCTCCAATCTATGAGAAATTCTTGGCTACTATATAAATGTGTTTGCTTGTTTATTTGTTTTTTAGGTTCAAAGAAGCATGGGAAGCTGGGTAGGAAGAATTGTAACTTAAAGGTGACTATTTGAACATTGTTTTGCTCCTATCAACGCTAATCAAACAGAAAAAAAAACCAAAATCTCATCCAAAACTTTCAGACTCTCATGCCTGGTAGTTCAGACCTTCCCTTATTTAAGAGACTTAGTGAAAGGTAACATCTTGGTGGGGGAGCAGCTCTCAGTTAACATTTGAACAGCAGCTGTAGATCATTTCTGCAAGCAAATAGATATTCTCACCAAAAAAAAAAAAAAAAAAGCAAAGAATAAAAGCACAGAAATTTATAAATACAGTAAGTGGATAAAGAGATATGTCATGGTCTGAAAAGCAAATGTGAACTATCTGTTAGATCACTGACTTGTGCTCTTGCTTTATCTAACTGTGCTCTCCTGTTCAAGGATGTGGTTAGTGGTCGTGCAGAGCACTCAGCCTCTTGCAGAAAGGGATTTATATTTGAATTCTGTAGTGCAAATAGCACGTAAGTATGTGCTTACCGATATTGCAAATTCCCTGCTAAATATAGATAGGTTTACTCATATGTTTTTAATTAAATATGTGTCTAAATATTCTCCTGCATAGGTGTGAAATAAAGATCAATTATTTCAAGATTTTACTGGATTTTTTAAAAAATGCACCTGAGCAGGGTTTCTGCAAAACTTACTTTTTTTCTTCCAAATAATTCTTTCTTGTGTAAATCACTGTGTTGTGCCAGAGGCCTAAGCACAGTTTCAGTTACTGCATTATTTTATACGTGGCACTTTCACAACAGATTTGGCAGCATACAAAATCAATTCAGTGAAACCCCACGATTTCATAGCGGATTTTTCTGGAGTACAACATTTGGCATTCAGTTACAATATAGCAAATGTAAAACTAACATGGACAAGCTAAAATTTATCCTAGGTTTGGACTAAACAGGACCTAGTTCCTGTCTGCACTGCCCAAATGCCAAGTGAGTTTCTGTTCATGTATCGGCAGAACAACCATACATTTAGGTCTATTACGCATACAGTATGTGTTTGCACACAGTAAACTGAAGCAGTAAGTGTAGTACAATTATCTTTAAATGTAGTGATTATGTGCCTGCCATTTCAGAATTTCTGAAGCACTTGGCATCTCTGTTTTGTAGTCTGGTAAATAAATACAAGCTTGTTTTTTTATTTTTTTGTCCATCCCTGAACATGTTGGAAATCATATTTTAAAATTGTGCCTAGTTCTGATTTTTTTTTCAATGTGGAATTACATTTTATACGTTCATAGAGTTAGTCCTTTCAGAAAGACTTTAGGTCCTTCATGAACCTGCAGTTATAGACCCCAAATATGATCTTTTTTAATACAATTTGATTGTCTTCCCATGAAAGGAAAGAAAGCTGAGTTGGGAATAATGTCATAATTACAGCACATTACGTACTAGAAACTTACAAGCAATGATGTATCTTTTCTTTTGGTAACATCATCTCTCCTTTTAATTATTATTTATTATTGGCATGGTGCCATTAAGTTATGTGGTGCTGTCTTATAGCTGACAAAATGATGTGGTTTCAGACAAATAAATAGGTGAAAGTCCAAAAGTAAGTCCTCATTGCTTTTGAGAGTCATCAGTTGCTATGATTTTTTTAAAAAATTACAACTAGAGCACTCTTCTGTTCCATCCAAGTCCTTTCTGTGGATAAGATTCCAGAAAATAAAATATTCTGGAACTGCATGAAGTCTTTTTTTTTATATTTCATCTAGGTTTTGGAAATTTTGACACCATCAGACCAATCTGAAAAAGTTCATAAATCCATCTAATAGATGTAGAGTATACAGAAGGGGTCCTCTGTTGTAATAAAAATAATAATGACACTGTAATTAGAAAGGTAAACAGCTTGCTTGCATTTTTTAAACTTCATAAAAATGCATCTTTTTTACTGCAAAGGACCAATTAAGTCATGCATGTAGCTGTATTCTTGTGATAACATCTGTAAAGATTACATTGTATTAAATGAAAAAACAGGCACACATTTAAAAAGAAGGCGAAAAAATGTAAATATATTTGATTAATAAAACATTTCTATTACCATATCCTAAGCCTTTGTTTTATGTTAAGATTAGGTATGGAATTTTGTGCATGCTATGCAGAAAACCAAACATGCATGTACATTGAAGGCACCCTCAAATAATCACAGTGCCCTGCTCTGGTTTCCATTATGAGCTTCCGAAAGGGGTTCGCAGCTTAGATGTCGCAAACTGATTTGCAGTGGGAAGAGTTCAAGAAGAAAAGATCAAGTTCAGTTTTCTTGGTGACTGGGCCTCAATACTCCTATTGTTGTAATGCTGGGGGCACAGTGCTGGCACATGCTAAAGCAACTGCTCAACCATGTTTTGGAATTTTGTTTGTATGTGTTTATGATTCAGATCGTGTCGTATCGTAACCAAGTTTTTCTGTTCTGCATACTAGAGTGTGGGGTTTTTATGGTTGACACCCCAGTCTTGTTTAGTTCCTTGAATCCTAATTTACAAGGATCACCATCTAGTGGACTAAACCAGAATTTCAAAACTGCAGATGATGCGATGTTTGAGCTCATTTTTAAAAAATCATTCCAAACCCAAAGCTAAAAGCACTAACCATGCTCCACTGCAAGGGACCTTCAGTGCCTTTTGTAACATTATTTCACTGCCATTGTGTATGTCAAAGCGCAGCGATTAGTTCACTAAGTCACCCCTTGTTCCACTTGAAAAAATATCACTTGAGTATGAGAAAAATATGTCAGTTTCTGTCATTTTTCATGTTATATGACCTTTTACATAAGCACCAGAACCACCACGGTAGAATAATTGTGCGAAACTACTGTATTTGAGAAAATACTCAGGTAAATTGGCCAGCAGA